ATAATAATAATAATAATAATAATAATAATAATAATAATAATAATAATAATTTTATCTGTTCAATGCAGTTTTCTTGGCAAGGTTTTTCAGAAGTGTTTGGCCATTGCCTCCTTTTTAGGCCAGAGAGAGTGACTGGCCCAAAGTCACCCAGCTGGCTTTGTGCCTAAGGCAGGACTAGAACTCATGGTCTCCCGGTTTGTAGCCTGATGTCTTAACCAGTACACCAAACTGGCTCTCAATATTATTTATTACCTCACAATTACAGGTAGTCCTCGCTTAACGATCATTCATTTAACGACGGTTCAAAATTACTGTACTTGCACTTACGACTGTCACAAACCATCATGCCACCCCTCACGGTCACATGATCATGATTTGAGACCTTTTTTACGATTGTTGTAAAGTGAATCACCGCAGGCATTAAGTGAATCATGTGGTCATTAAACAAATCACATGGTCGTTAAGCGAATTCTGGTAAAAATTTCCATTGGGGAAGCTGGATTTGCTTAACAGCCATATGATTTGCTTAACAACCATGGTGACTCGCTTAATGTCCACCCCACTTAATGACCAATTTTCCGATCCCTATTGTGGTTGTTAAGAGAGGACTATCTGTAAAGGTAAATTATTTTTATATACATAGGTCTTTCTCTAAAGTATAATTGATTTTTTAAAATTTCTTTTCTCACTCATTATTTGCATGACTGGACTGAACATTTTCCAATTAATTCAGGAAGAGAACTTCCCCTTAGTACTTTGCTTGCCCTTGCTGGTCTTTCATATTTAAATTCTTGTTTGAATTCTTTACATGTATGTGGAAAGGGGAAGAATGGGCATAAAACATGAAATCTAAGTTTAGACAACTGCAATAGCATATCCCCTGGGGAAAGTCTGCAGGGAGGGTCAAAAAAGTCATATTGGTAGCTGTGACCATACGGTTGAAGGCTTGCACTTTTTTGCATGACTTGCACACACAAAATACATACAAAAGTTGCCTGTGTTGCAGTTGCCATCTTGCCTTTTTGACCCTCCCACAGATGCCCCTGCGTGCCATTAAAATAAGGACACACCTCAATTCACAAGCCGTACTAACTGTACTAAGTCTGCCCTTCAGAAAGACAAACAAGTTCCTTTGTGCTGTTGGAGTTTCCTGCTGCACTAAAGCCAGTGGATTAAAATACAGCTCTGCCTCAAGTCTTCGGTCCTAGTTCACCACAGTAAATCTCCAAAGTTGGTCTGTCACACTCTTCTCCACCCACGAACAGGGTACTCCTTATTTATTTATTAGCACAATTCTTCAGCCTGAAATATTTCATAGATCTTACTCATGAGGTACACCCAGGGTGTACAATAAAATTCAAGAAGGAAGGGGCTAAAAAAAGCATGCATTTTCCATGTACAGCAAGAGGAAGAGAACGTGATGGAACCTCTCAAGTGTGGCTTGAGACCTCATTATTCAAAGAAATGGTTAGTCAGAAAGAAAAAGGGTTAAAATAGATTTAGAGAGGGAGGTTGGGACTTCCTTGTTCAAAATTACTTAAATAAGGTGCCACTGACAAAGCATGGCTGGCTGGGGAATTCTGGGAGTTGAAGTCCACACATCTGAAAGTTGCTGAGGTTGAGAACCACTGCCCTAGAGACACCCAGAAACACAGCCCTACTCTCAAAGCAAAAGCATACACAAACATCTTCATAGCTTTACATGAGGCCATCGTATCTTCACCATCCTCCTTCAAAACTAGAAATAAAATGCAGCCCAAGCTTTTTAGGTTGGGACTTCCTTGTTCAAAATTACTTAAATAAGGTGCCACTGACAAAGCATGGCTGGCTGGGGAATTCTGGGAGTTGAAGTCCACACATCTGAAAGTTGCTGAGGTTGAGAAACACTGCCCTAGAGACACCCAGAAACACAGCCCTACTCTCAAAGCAAAAGCATACACAAACATCTTCATAGCTTTACATGAGGCCATCGTATTTTCACCATCCTCCTTCAAAACTAGAAATAAAATGCAGCCCAAGCTTTTTCATGGGATTAATTCCGAAGAACCTTCTCAGGAAACCCAGCACTTAATACTGAGCCTGCTGGCTGCAAGCCCAAGTCAGCTCATCCTATTTGGCAGTGTGAAGATGGTAGCCTTGCACTTCTCCTCTGACACCTTTCATTCAGCCTTGG